ATCCAATCATCCAGACGCCATTGGTTCCCGGCACGTATTCTCCTTCATAACATCTCCACAGATTTCTGTTTTGCTGATTGACCAGATTTTCCGATAAGCTTGTATTTTGTGTTGTGCTGTTTGACATGTTTAGTCCATTTGTACCACAAAAGTCATGGTAGTCTGCACAGCAGTCTAAAAAGAATTCACAATCTTCGTCACAAAAGCATGAAAACTGTGTTTGGTATAAAACTGTACGAGGGTTTTGACATCTGTTTCTACATGAAAGCTCTTTTTCACAGACCAGGGTGGTTTCTGGTGTCTGAGCTGTCCTTCTTTGCCGGTGAGATCGCACTTTTGCCATTTCTGATTTCTGTTGATTTTGTCTCGTTTTCTTTGCCCAAACGTCCATTTCCTCTGCAACAACAGTCTTCTCACTTGCCAGATTCTCTTCGTCTCTCAAATCTCTGATGTCGGCGAGGTCTGCTCGAAGAAACACTGTAGGATTGTGCAGTTTTTTTCTCCAATTCTTACCACGACCATGATTCTCAGGGTTTGACTCCAATGTCGTCTTTTTTAGTTTGTTGTTAGCATAAAGGGTATTCGTTCTTTCATCGACTGCAGAATCAGTTTGATGCCTATGAAAAACGAATACCACAAGGAAGCTAACTACGGCAAGTAGAAAGCCTTGCATTTTAGGTCTTGAAAGTATATCAGTTACCTTCTCTCTTGTTTGTGTTTCCCAGATGTATCTTATCTAACTTCGTTCGCCTCAGAGACTACAAAACTTTGGGCAAAGTTTGTCTGTTTTATAGAAAAAATCAYGCCATAGTTCATTCATTTATCATAAGAACCAATAGTCTTCCTGTGAATCGACTTCGCGTGAAATATTAAGCTTTTAAGCTTAAAAAAAACGCTTTTTCTTAAGGTCCATGCTGAGTCTGAGTTGTGAAGGATAGTGTTTCCTGGAACTCCCGCAGTGGGTAAAGCGAACAAACCCCACAAAGATGAACTATGAAACCCATCTGAAGGACACTTTCTTTATCCCCTGCAAAGTTATAGATGCACTTATAAAAAAGTGCAAATTCACGAGAGGAAAAGAACCACAGCTCGTAATGGAACCTGCTGACCATGGTCACATATAACTTGCTTCAAATGTTATATAAGACCTAAGTAACTACGCGTTGTTATTACTGAGATGAATTACTGGAAGACAAATAGAACCCATTCGAATTTCCTGTTCTCACTATGCCGTATTCAAGTGGACGAAGAGCCACTCTTTGGATCTAGTTAWGTGAAGTCCTGCATGGAATCATACGTGTTTTTTTAACAAATACTTTAGTGGAACTCCATTCGAGTTCCTTGTCGCAATATACCATGCACTTGGACTAAGTCAGCACCGTATGTTTTCCAGTCATACGAAAATCGCTATAAAGCAATTCAAAGATTGACCCGTAGCTGTGAATAAAACTTAAATGATATTAATATTGATAATAAGTATTGCCTGTTTTTTTTTTTTTTTTTTTTTTTTTTTTTTTTT